ATAAAAATTCCTGGAGTAAAATAGTCATTATTAATCGCATCCGATACATGATTAATTAGTTTGATTACGGCATGATTAGTTAAATTTTTTTTTTGAAATCCAAATTGTTTATTGTACAGCAAACTGTTTAACATCAAATAGTTGTAAAGTCTGATGTACATAATTCATTCAGGTAATTTTGGGATGCAGGGTGGAACGGAAATAGGTCTGTAGTCGTTAATATTAGTTTCGTCACCAGATTTATTATACTTTTTATTAGAGAAAAAAAAAATAGGAAACCAACACCTAACACTTCCTGAAGGATGAGAGGCCTAACATTTTGCATTTTTCTTTTATTAAAGGTACATAATCAGGATTTGTTTCGAACACCAAAATTTGCATAATACTCAGATCAAAAATACAAGATAATAAAATAAAATAAGATTTAAAAAGTTTTTTTTGTAAATTTTTGTATCTTTTAAATGTATAAAATTCTTTGGATGTAAAGAAATTCTTTTGGAAAGAATTTGAAAGTTTATTTACTGACTGAATTACTTTTGAAAAAATTGAAACAAATTTATGCTCTAACTATTTAGTATTTAACTTGACATGTATGAGTTTGTATTGTGATAAAAGCAATCATGGTAAGGTACCATATGAGTCAACACCTAGTTTTAATGAAAGATAAAAAATATGAAGTAATGACAGTTCAATGATATCGAAGACTTACTTCACAACATTCACTCTAACTTTGTCAATGCTCTAACTTTTATTACTTTTCAGACTGTTAAAAGTATTCCTTATTTTGCTTAGATTTAAATCGGATTCTTCCATAATAGAATTACACGATTTAATATAAAATTCAAACTTTGTGGTAGTTGACGTAATTTTACTCGCCAAGTTCGGCCATACTTCGAGAAAAAATGAGTTAAGTTCTTCAGCTACTTTTTTTATTATTAACCATTTTTTTATCAATTAAAAGCTTTTGAAGAAGACTTTTTTTACATTTCTTTTTCCCAAATATTTGTTTAATTATATTCCACGTACTTTTAGTGTCGTCGTTAGTTTTTATCAACAACTTTGCATAATAACTTTTGTTTTTGGTTTTTGTAGTTTATTTCATTTTAATAAGTTTTATGTCTTAAATATTAAAAAAAGTTTTTGTTATTTCTTTGATGATTTTATTAATTCCTTGGTCATCCAGGGGTTTAAAAGAGACTTGGATTTTATAATTTTTTAAACAGGAAATGCTATATCGCATTGTTTACATAACTGCGTTAAAAATAGCTCATATGCAGTATAGACTTTGTGGAATTATAAGATAACATTCAAATCAATATTTTCTGTTAAAAAAGTTTGAAAATACAATAAGGAGTTTTCATTCATTTATCGTGTTGAGATTGTAATGTTTGAAGGGACATTATTTAGGGTTATGTTATCAGTAAATAAGAATATTGGAAAATGATCAGTTAAATCAGTTTTGATTATGTTTGTTCCTAAACGGCAATTTTAAAAATTATTAGTTATTATATTATCAAGTAGTGGCGATGAGTTATTGTTGACTTATTTATTGTTGGTATTAGGTTATATTCTATAAGAGTATCTAGAAAATGTTGAACATTTTTGTTTGAAGCATAATTTAGCAAAATTAAGTTAAAATCACCAGCTAAGTAAACACGTTTCCGTATTATACTAGTTTTGGTTAAAAAACTGCTTAGATAAGTTTTAAATTTTCTTAAATTACCAGCTAGTTGTCTATAAATAGATTCAATTACAATATTTTTGGTGGTTTTATTTATAATTTCTATGCACAACAACTCGCAATCAGTTTCATTAAAATTGAGGTCATGACGTAGAATAAAGCTAATTGTATTGTGGACAAAAATACTAATTTCACCACAAGCATAGTTAAAACGTGGTTGTTAAACGGATACATAATTACTTAACTCAAGGTTTCAATTCTTTTTGTTGGTTTTAAGCCCAGTTCCTGTGATACAAATTGTTTTAAACTCGTGGTTTGGTTGATGCAATAAAGTTTGAGATTTTCGAAATTTTTGTTAATTCTTCGAATGTTTACATAAAATATAAAATGTATTTTTGTTCTGACAGAATACTAATTTCACCACAAGCATAGTTAAAACGTGGTTGTTAAACGGATACATAATTACTTAACTCAAGGTTTCAATTCTTTTTGTTGGTTTTAAGCCCAGTTCCTGTGATACAAATTGTTTTAAACTCGTGGTTTGGTTGATGCAATAAAGTTTGAGATTTTCAAAATTTTTGTTAATTCTTCAAATGTTTACATTTAAAATATAAAATGTATTTTTGTTCTGACAGAGAAAATGTATTTTCTCTGTCAGAAGATTGAGAAGATCGAAATTTACTTAATACCCAGCTAACACATGCTTAATTGGACCAACGTTTAGTTAATGTTGGATTGGTTGACTAACGTTGGTCCAACTTAGTGCCTACGCGATGTAACTCTACTTGAATTTTCATCGCGTTGGCTCTACGTTGGGCCAACTTACTTTTAAAAATCTAAATATGCTTGTGACTTATTCAAATACTTGCGCAAAGCATTTATCTAAAACATATTGATTCTCCATTTTAAAATAGTTTACTTTTTATAATGATATCGTTGTAAGGAACATTTGATTATTCTGCAAGTACCCAGTAAACACGCTTTAGTTGGCCCAACTGTCAGGCCAGTATTGGCTATAGTTGGCTAACTATCGGCTAAACGTGCCAACCATTAACCGACTATTTACCGCTAGTTTTTGAAGATAGTTGGCTAACAGTTGGCTAACTGTAGGCTTAACGTGCCAACCATTAACCGACTATTTACCGCTAGTTTTTAAATTTCCCGTCAGTAAGTTTTATAAAGGCTTATTTAAGGCTTTATTTAAAGTTCAGTAGCGTGGTCGAAGGTTATAGTGTGAAGCAATTTATCATTTAGTTTCTTTCAAACTCTTTTTGCTTTTTTTAATAAAACCGTTTAACTAAAACTCTCTTTTACCTTTAAGTGAAACAGTTACGTTGGTAAGTACAAACATTTTACATTTATCCATTAATTACACATTCAGATATAATTCTTGAGATTTGTTAAAGTTTTAAAAAGTTAAAATACAGCTAAAAGTTATATGTGTTTACGTGTTTTTTTCTGTACGCATATGTATATCATATATATATATATATACATCTATATATATCTATATATATCTATATATATCTATATATATCTATATATATCTATATATATATATATATATATATATATATATATATATATATATATATATATATATATATATATATATATATATATATATATATATATATATATATATATATATATATATAAATTTATATAAAAATTTATATACATACATACATATTATATGTATGTATGTATTATATATATGATATATATGATCATGTATGCATATGTATATCATATGATATACATATGCATTATAAAAAATATACTCTATGTACTGTATGTAAAAGTACTGTATTTGTGTGTATGTTACATACACACAAATACAGTACTTTTACATACACTGTATGTAAAAGTACTGTATTTGTGTGTATGTAACATACACACAAATACAGTACTTTTACATACAGTACATAGAGTATATTTTTTATAATGCATATGCATTATAAAAATTCATTATAACATGCATTATAACATATATGTTATAATATATTATAACATATGCATTATAAAAAATATACTTTATGTACTGTATGATACAGTACATAAAGTATATTTTTTATAATGCATATGTTAATCATATGATATACATATGTATGCATGATATTTATATGTATACATGTTTTACATTATTAATTATATTAATAATATAGTTTATATTAATAATATAAATTATTATAATATATGTATATATGATATATACATACTATGTATATATGATATATACATATATTATAATAATTTATATTATTAATATAAATAATATTATTAATATAATTTATAATGTAAAACATGCATACATATAAATAACAAAGTATAATAATATATAAATACATAAAATATAAATACATATAAGATACATATATATATATATATATATATATATATATATATATATATATATATATATATATATATATATATATATATATATATATGTATATATATATATATATATATATATATATATATATATATATATATATATATATATATAAACTATATATATAGGTATCTATATTGATAATAATAACTAACATAGTAATATAATGAATTTTTGTTACTATGTTAGTTATTAATAAGATACATATTTAAGAGTTTGATGAATATTTCCTAATTTTTTTTTTAAATATCACACCAACATTACACGAAGTTAGCAATATCTACTTTGGAGAACAACAGTTTAAATGAGTATTTAATTTGCGTGCAATAGAATTGAATTCTACTCAATTATGAAAAAGAATTTGAAATTTAAGAATCTTTTAGTACTAGAATTCAAACAAAGACTAAAATCTACTAAAATCCTAAATCATAATGAAATAATATAAATTTATAAAAAACTAAATCCTAAAATCAAATACTTTATAGTGCTAACTTGTTTGCATGGTTTCTTATAAATTTACATTTACATTACACTTTATATACAACAAGTTATATTGTATATAAAGTGTCATAGTTTATATTTATAACATATTTTATAATTATTATATATACAATATATATTATCTGTATATAGTAGTATATTTATATGCTTTAAAACCTAAGCACTTATGTTTTTATTGAATTTGTATGGTTTGTTTAAGAGTTTTTATATTGAATTCTATAAAGCATTTAAATTTGAATGATTGCTTATCAATTCTACAAACATGTTAATGCTTTATAGAGTTGCATATAAAATCTCATACAAACTATACAAATTCTATAAAAACATAACTGCTTATATTTTAAAGTGAATATAAACTAAAGCATGCATCATTTATTGATCCATGCTTTAGTTTCCTATCACATTTTATTTTCTTAGATAATGGAGAACAAAAAGTTAAAGTAAGTATTTCAAAATTTTGTTTGATTATGATTGAATTTATGCTTATATTTATATAGGTTACAAGATTTTATTTGCTTGAAATTTATAATAGAAAAATCTAATTTGCGTAAAAGAACTTTTAATAGTTGTCGAAGGCAAAAAAAGTATAGACAAAATATTAAACAAATAAAAATAGAAAGTGAAAAGCATCATTTATTTGAATTAGCCTCTTATATAGTAGAGAAGTGAATTCCACCTAGCGACCATCAGAACATTACTCTAAATGTATCTAATAAAGAAAGAAGTTCTCTTATTGTACACCAAGCTCTTCCCAATCATAACATTGATTTAGAAAGTATATGTGCAAGTGATTCAGGTCAATCTGACTATGAATGGGAGGCTCAAATGAATAACAAACCTCTGTCATCAGAAAGTGATTCAGATGAATATGAATTCCCTGCTGTTGAAATACAAACCTTTTTACAACAATGGAAAGTTAAAAACAATATTACACAAAATGCATTGTCTAGTCTCCTTAGTGGACTTAAAAATGATATTCCTAATTTACCAAAAGATGCTAGGACTTTAATGAAAATCCCTAAAACTATTTATCCAGAGTGCATGGGGGATGGGATGTTTGTTTATCTTGGTATATGTAATGGATTAACAAAACAACTTGAGGCTTATGATGTCAGTCATTTAACTTGTCTGGTGTTAGATTTTAATGTTGATGGTTTGCCCTTATTTAAAAGCTCAAATATCAATGTTTGGCCAATCTTATGCTCCATCAATAACATACCAGTTAATAATCCGTTTATTGTTGCAATGTTTTGTGGGAGTGGGAAACCACCAGTGCATGAATATTTAAAACTTTTTGTTATTGAATTAAAAAAATTAATAAATTCAAGTTTTTGCTTTAATTTGAAATACTTACCAGTTTACATCAGATGTTTTATTTGTGATACACCGGCCAGAAATTTTTTAAAATGTATAAAGGCATTTAATTCAAAAGAAGGTTGTGAGAAATGTGTTCAGAAAGGACAATGGGCTGGGAAAATGGTTTTCCCTGGTACAAATGCAACACTCAGAACTGATGAATCATTTAGACTGAAGGTTCATCCAAAGCACCATAAATATGAAATTGAATCCCCGCTTTGCAACCTCAAAATTGGTTTAGTTTCACTATTTGCTTTAGACCCAATGCATTTAATACATCTAGGAGTAACTAGACTTTTGTTATTTTTATTAAAAAATGGAACAAAGTACTGCAGGAAATTAATATCATCAAAGCAACTGTGCAATTTAAATGAGTATCTTTGCAAATTAAAATATCATTGGCCTATCAATTTCAACAGAAAACCTAGATCATTTTCTGAATTAGAAAGGTGGAAGGCCACAGAATATAGGCAGTTTTTGCTTTTTATCATGCCAGTAATATTCAAAAAATGTTTATGTGATGCACAATACAATATGATTAATTTATACTTTGTGGCCATAACTATTCTTACTAGAGAAGATTTGTATTCAAAATACATTGGTTATGCAGAGAAATTATTACTTTTATTTGTCAAAGATTGTGATTCAATTTTGGAAAAGAATTTATTGTTTCCAATGTACATAACCTTATACATTTAGCAGAAGAAGTTAGAAGATTTGGTCCTTTAGATAAGTTTTCAGCTTTTATGTTTGAAAATTATTTGCAAGTTTTAAAGAGGCTGGTCAAAAATTCAACTAACCCGTTGCAGCAAATATACAACCGTCTTTTGGAAATAGACAATTTTCTGATTTCCTCACCAGTTGCAAGTATGGAAACCAAACTTATTCACAACAAAAAAATATTAAGTGATTCATTTGTTAAAGCTACCCATAATGGGACTACACTTTCTATAAACAATAAAGATAATTTTGTCCTTCTTAAAGATAAATCAGTTGTAAAAATATAAAACTTTAAATTAGAAAGTGACCAGTTGATTACTATTGTCTGTAGAAAGTTTTGTAATCCAATTCTATTGTTTACATATCCATGTTCTTCTGAAAAGCTTTCAATATATGTTTTCAGTCCAATAAAACAAAATGCACCTCAGTATACTTATAATATTGATAAGATTCATATGAAAGGAGTTGTTCTTCCTCTGCAGAATAATGTTGTGTTTATACCACTGAGTTCTCATAAATAATATTTTTTACAAGTTAAACATAAAATCAAAATCAAATAAAAATATATAACATAAGAATCAAATAAAAAATATTTAATTTAAAATTCAAATATTGAATATAAAAATATATAAAATAAAATCAAATTTTTAAAAATACTTACCAAACAAACTTATAACTCCTGTACAAGGAAGATATTACAGAGATTGGTCCAAGCTCAAGTCAAGTATTTATTGGATCAGTTGCAAGTATTTATTACATACATGATACTAAATGATATTTTTTGTCTTCGTTTTGTATTAAAATACAAGTAATCGGGAACACTTAATTTTTTTAGGTTTCATATATATATATATACATATATATATATATACAGTGGTGTACAGTTAGATTTTGGCCGGTCACCCATCGGGCGACTGAGAGTAAAAATTTAACTAATTACAGTCGCTCGCCAATGTTTTGAGTCATCCGTCGCCATTTTTTTGAAAAAAAAAAACTCAATTGCAACAAATTAATATTTCCAGTAGCCCTTCACAAGATTTGGGTGGCATTTGCCAATGGGCGACCACGACTGTACACCACTGATATATATACATATGTATTTATATGTATTTATATATATATATATATATATATATATATATATATATATATATATATATATATATATATATATATATATATATATATATATATATATATATATGTATATATATATGTATATATATATATATATATATATATATATATATATATATATAAATTCATTTCATTTTTTATATATCAAGGTCTTATCAAGTAGTTGAATTCCCTGCATTAAGGAAAAACCAATTATTTTCGGTAGCTGTAGTGCCTAGAAGAAGAATCTGAAGTAGCCTCAGTGTCTTGAAGAAGAATCTGAAGTAGCCTCAACTGATGGGACTTCTTCTGAATGGTATGTCTCTATACTATATATATAATTTTTTTTTTTTTTAATTTAAAATAATGAGTTTATATTTTTTAATATATGTTTATATATGTTTAATACCAGGTCTATCAAATCAAATCCTGGAAGGTGTTTAGAATCAAATTCTGTGCCTCCACCATTCCCTGGTGAATCTGATGACAAGAGAGATTCAACAGTTAATATTACTGGAGGTAACAAAAGTTTTTATTTTATTTAATATTTAATTTTTAATTTAGATCCTATTTTTATAATTGTATACATGTTTTGTTAGTTGCATTGTTTTCCGGGAATAAAAGTGGATCAGGAAGGTATGTCTTTATACTATCTATATAAATTATTTGATGTTTTATTTAAAATTATATGTTTTTTTTTTTAAATATATGTTTATGTATGTTTAATACAAGGTCTATCAAATCAAATCCTGCAAGGTCTTTAAAATCAAATTCTATACCTCCACCATTCCCTGATGAATCCGATGATGAGAGAGGTTCAGCATTTAATAATACTGGAGGTAAAAAAAATGTAATTTCAATGTTTTAATGTTTAATTTAAATCCCATTTTTTAAATTGTATACATATTTTGTTAGTTAATTCGTTTTCCGGCAATGTGGATTCTAGGAATGGATCAGGAAGGTATGTCTTCATACTATCTATATAAATTGTTTGGTTTTTTATTTAAAATTATAAGTTGTATGTTTAATACAAGGTCTATCAAATCAAATCCTGGAAGGTGTTTAGAATCAAATCCTGGAAGGTGTTTAGAATCAAATTCTGTGCCTTCAACATTCCCTGATATATCTGATGACGAGAGAGATTCAACAGTTAATATTACTGGAGTTAATATTACAAAAAGTTAATAATAACTGGTTAATATTACAAAAAGTGTAATTTTAATGATTTAATGTTCAATTAAAATCTGATTTTTAAAATTGTATACATATTTTATTAGTTGAATTGTTTTCCGGCAATGTGGATTCTAGGAGGGGATCAGAAGGTATGTCTTTATAATATCTACTTAAATTGTTTTTTTAACTAAATTAAGTTATTAGTATTGTATTAAATGTATGTTTACAGATAATATATATATGATATATATACAATAATATTCAGCTAATTATGTTTATATAGAAGTTAGCAGCATTGGAGTTGCGATTAACAAAACTAGAGGACAGAAAAAAAATTTCAGAAATTGAAAGTTTCTTGAATAATGAAGAGATTGTTGCTCCCCCAGGCCTTCCAATGCAAAGTAAAGAAGATTTGCAGTGGCTTAACCTTAAGTTGCAAATGAAATCTGAGATGGCTGTCTATGTAATTAAAAGTTATTTTTTATTTTATTATGTTCTACCAATCTACAAGATGGATAGTAACTATTATTTTATAAGATCGAATATTTTAATAAGTTTTAAGATTATACTTAACATAATAACTTTTAAGATTATACTATACATAGTAAGTTTTAAGATTATACTAAACATTACATAAAATAAATTTTATAATACCTTAGTTATATAATACCTGCATTACATTTTTTTTTTAGGTTGAATATCTGCGTTCTGTAGGCGGTAGAGTTGAGCGAGCAAAATACGTACGACGAGTGTTGGGAGCTATGTTTTCAAAAAATTTCAGTGTTTTATGTAATCTTAATGGATCCTCGAGTAAGATGATGGCAACTGGAATGGGAAAGATCAAGTTGCGAAGTTATCATTTTGTTATAAAATGCTTAGTTTGTAAGTATTAGTAATTATGTTCATTTCGAGTCTTTAACCCAAGGCAACTGTATTATAAGAGTTGCAATATGTTTTAAACACCAAGAAAGAATACAATATAATGTCAATACTAATGACAATTGCCAGTGTAATCATTTGTCGTAAATTTGTATGATATTATATTTTTCGTTAGTGTCCTAAACATATTAATGCCACTTGTGACATCTAATTGTAAACTATGATTTACTGTTATGCTAAGCGATTTCTAAAAAGTATATAGGAGTTAGTCCTATATATATATATATATTATAAATAAGTTATATATATATATATATATATATATATATATATATATATATATATATATATATAAATTTGTATATATATATATATATATATGTATATGTATATGTATATATACATATATATATATATATATATATATATATATATATATATATATATATATATATATATATATATATATATATATATATATATAAACTTATAATTGTATATATATAAAATATATATATATTTGTATTATTTATTTTAATGAAACTTTTTTTTTGAAACTTTTATTTTTTTTATTCTTTTAGCGACAGTAAGAATTCAGTATCCAAATTCTAAAGATAAAGATTTTTACCCGATCTTTTCAAGATGGTTTCAAGGAGCGATTGATCAGGGTGATGGTCGAATAAATAGGCGGGCGAAGAGCATTCTAATCAAAAATCAGTTGCTTTTAATGAATATAGAAAATATTTAGTTTTTATTTTTTTTTGTAAATTTATAAAAGCTTACTTAACTTGAGTTTTATAATATTATCTCATTTATCTTAATTTATAATTTTCTAATAAACTGTAACATTTTAAAATACTACCGTATTAAACTAGTGTTTTTAATTAAAACTGCCAATTATAATTTCAAATATTATAACAAAAGGAACTACTCTAAAATGAATATTTAATTGAAGTTTTCTATTTGTAAATAATGATTTTTCTTTAATGATTTGGAAATAAAAGTATGATGATTAAAAATGTTTATTTTGTGTATTCAACTAAGTTACTTATAAATAATAAAATGTTTTTGTGTGGGCAGTACTCTTTGATAGATAAAACCTGATACACAACTTTGGTGTAAACCGGACAATCAATCACTATTAAATAAAAGCTAGAAGTTATAATAAAGCTTTATTATGAACTAATACTCAAAACTTGAAGACTTTTGCACTTTCGATTAAAGTGCAAAAGCGAAAATAAATAGTTAAGAAAAATATAAAATAGATGGGCCGTTAATGGTACCAACTGTTAGCCAACTGTTTATTTAGCAGTAAAAAACAGTTGGGCCGTTAGTTGGCCAACAATTGGCAAAAACAGTTGGCTAAGTATTGGTAAAAGCGTAACGTTTTTTCCATGGTACCAACTAAAAAACCGACTATCGGCCCAACTGTAGCCAATAGTTGGTTAAAATGATCGGGCCAACTATTTAATGTTTACTGGGTATATTATAGAGTTGTGTACATAGAATTGTGCTGCTACATTTACAAAGGCTTCAATAAAATATCTATTTTATTAGTTTAGACAGAAATCTTGGTACTAATACCATAATTTCTGTCGCTAATTTTGTTATAATTTAACCCTGACGGGAGAGGAGTCTGAAATTTTTTGACTATTGTTGGCAAAGAATAAGGGGGAGGTCAAGACAAGTTGATGTCAACAATCTTACTTTTTTAAACAAATTTAATTACTTAAAAAAAGGAGAATTAGGCCACGTTTGTAGTTTTGTGTTACACACTCGCTCATCTTTCAATATTTTAATAAAGCTATTTATATTCCTACTTATTAAAAACCGTGTTGTGCTTTAAAAAGACCTGACACATCCCAGCAAACAAAAAGATATCTAAAATGTATCTAATATGCATCTAAAAACTGATCTAAAAGATGTCTAAATTCAGGTCTAGAACGGGACATAAATAGACGTCTATCTTATAGACGTCTTTTAGATGCATTTTATTCGACACAAATAATTGCCTTAGATGCATATTAGATGTGTAAAATACGTCTCTTAAATAGATGTCTAAGGCGCGTATAAAAAAGATAGATAATAGATAATTTTTTAGTTAATAATAGCTCTTTTATGCATCTAATATACATCTATAATACATCTTTAAATGTATACTTCACATCTTTTATGCATCTAAGGCATTTATTTGTGTCGAATAAAATGCATCTAAAAGACATCTATATGATAGACATCTATTTATGTCCCGTTCACGACGTGAATTTAGACGTCTTATAGACCAGTTTTTAGATGCATATTAGATGCATTTTAGATACCTTTTTCTTTGCTGGGACTTGTTTGATACAAAGGTGTTACAGCGGTTAAATTAGTCATAAAAAAGGATTAAATTAAATAACTAAAGAAACATTTTAACTAACATTACTTAATTTTTATTTCACAAAAATATACATAAGAAACTATATTTCTGCATTGCCGTCAACATTTTCTTCCACGTCCCCGATATCTAAAATATATACATTAATGACATTTAAATGACTTTAAAAGACATGTAGAATTCTGAATCTATTTTTATGAAATATTATATATATATATATATATATATATATATATATATATATATATATATATATATATATATATATATATATATATATATATACACATACAGTATCGGACAAAACCAGTGCAACCAAATGATGCTAATTTAGTTTCTTTGTATAAAAGTGCTGCATTTTTTCAATTTAGAAAAATAACTATGTAACTGTTTAGAGACAACGTTTTTATATTTTACGTTTTGCAGAGCAATATTTTACGTTTCTCAACGTAAAATATTGCTCTGTGGAACATAACGTCTTGGTTGGATGTGGACTGTATTGATGTAATGAAACACTTGTTGTATTTCACTTCTGGTATTGATGTTCTTCAATAAAACACTTTGATAAAACTAACTTCGATAAACTGTCTTCATAATACTGACTGATTGACTTCCATATACTGACTGAATTACATGTCTCTTATATAGTAAAATGAACCTGTGTGAACCTGTTCTGGAAGATTCTAGATGCTTCTTTTCAATACTTCTGGACGCTTCTGGATGCGTCTGAATGCTTCTGAATGTTTCTGGATACTTCTGGATGCTTCCTGATGCTTCTTCTGGAAACTTCTGGAAGCTTCTGCATGCTACTGGGATCTTCTGGATATTTCCTTTAATTATTAAAAAACTTCCGTGACGTTGACACGGACCAGACTTGAGAAATTGAAACAAACCAAAAGAAGTTGCACGTGTTTTGTATGCTGCAAAATGGCACTTGTCAACGAAATTCTGCCTGTGTGCTGTCACCTGTCAGCTGATTGCTCATATCAAGGCATGCTATGACTCCAAACACCTGAACTGTTTGCTGTGGTAGTATAGTTCGTTTCATTTTTAAGACATAAAATTAAGAATATATTTTAGCAATGTTCGATGTTGGTTGCAAATGTTTTGTCCAATACTGTATATACACATATATACATGTATATATATATATATATATATATATATATATATATATATATATATATATATATATATATATATATATATAGTATGTATATATATATATATATATATATATATATATATATATATATATATATATATATATATATATATATATATATATGTATGTATATATATATATATATATATTATATATATATATATATATATATATATATATATATATATATATATATATATATATATATATATATATATATATATATATATATATATATATATATATATACATATATATATATATATATATATATATATATATATATATATATATATATATATATATATATATATACATACATATATATATATATATATAATATATATATATATATATATATATATATATATATATATATATATATATATATATATATGTGTATATATATATATATATATATATATATATATATATATATATATAATATATATATATATATATATATATATATATATATATATATATATATATATATATATATATATATATATATATATATATATCAACCAGATACAATGATAAACAACAATTTTTTTATGAAAAAACTAAAGGAACTTGTATTATGGATACAAAATTTCTAGCATGACACAAAAAAGTTAAAGAATATCTTTTTAATACAGATATCAGTTTTGTAAATACTCTTAAAACTATACCTCGTAAAACACTCCATAATTTACTAGATTTTCTAAGCTTATCTTTTCCCCATTTCCTTTTCGATTTAATTTGGACTGTAACTGATTCGAAAATAACCTGATAAATATTTTACCAATAAACTGAAATACATAAAGATTTTTATTTTAATATATGTAATAAATTAAAACATATTTCAATATATGAATGCTTAAAATTATGAAAAGTTAAAGCAATAAATTTGAAAATAATATGCTAAACAAGGTTTAGCATTACACTTACTTTAGCACACAAACAAACTTAAACATCTACAGCGAAGCTCCCGAGTTTATTAAATTGTCATGTTAATCAGCTTCTTTTCAATACTTCTGGAAGCTTCTGGATGCGTCTGAATGCTTCTGAATGTTTCTGGATACTTCTGGATGCTTCCTGATGCTTCTTCTGGAAACTTCTGGAAGCTTCTGCATGCTACTGGGATCTTCTGGATATTTCTTTTAATTACTAAAAAACTTCTAAATTTATTAAAAAACTTCTAAAAATTATTTAAAAACTTCTAAAATTATTAAAAAACTTCTAAAAATTATTAAAAAATCATGTTAATGTTAAAATTGTCATTTGGCATGCTGGTCTTCTCCATAACCTTGCATATGGTGTTTCTCCATAAGCTTGCTTCATATGGAAAGTTTTTGAGATTATCAAATCATTTCTTTCTAACCGGTTTATTAAAGTCATTCTTGAAGGCCAACAGTCTTCTTTATTTCCAGTAACTTCTGGGGTTCCCCAAGGTTCCATCTTGGGCCCTGTTTTGTTTCTTATCTACATAAACGATCTTCCTGACAACCTTTAATCTAAAGTAGCTCTTTTTGCTGATGACTCAACTTTATACTCCTGTCTTGACAAAAAGTCTTCTCTTTTCGATCGCCTAGAACAAGCAGCTGATCTTGAATCCGATCTCACTTCTGTAATAGATTAGGGTTCACAGTGGCTTGTGAATTTAAACTCTAAACAAACCCAGTTGCTTACTGCAAACAACTACCGTAATATGGTCAACATTCCTATATTAATGAATGGCAATCCTCTTACTGAGTCGTCCTCTTTACGTCTTCTTGGATTATCGCTTACTACTGACCTTTCATGGAAACCATATATACAATCGATTGCTAAATTAGCTTCTGCTAAGGTTGCTTCTCTTTATCGTGCTCGCTATTTCCTTACTTCTGATTCCATTCTCTACCTCTACAAGTCTCTTATTCGTCCCTGAATGGAATACTATTGTCATATTTGGGCTGGTTCTTCTAACTATTCACTTTCTCTTCTTGACAAGGTCTAAAAACGCATTGTAAATGTTGTTGGACCTGGACTATCTGCTAAGCTTGAACCTCTTTCCCTTCGTCGTAAAGTTGCATCTCTTTCTCTTTTCTACAAATACTATCATGGTCACTGCTCAAAGGAGTTATCATTTCTAGTTCCATCAATCAAAATTCATTCTCGTTTTACTCGTCATTCAGCTAAGTCTCAGTCGTTTACTGTATCTGTTCCTGCATGCTCTAAAAACTTTTATTCATCTAGTTTTTTTTCCCCGCACTTCAATCCTTTGGAACTCTCTCCCATCTTCATGTTTTCCTGACTCATACAACCTTCATCATTTCAAGTCTTCTGTCA